GGGCCTTGCTATGGATCTAATGGACATATCAGGAGTCGTCAAGGCTCACCAATGATTTTGGAGTTGAGGTTTACAACATTTTGAAGGTGATTTTTGACTGAGTGAAGGGAACCAACAGATAAGAGGAAAGTTTAACTACTTTTGATAAATAAATGTTGAAAGTTTGATACAAAATGTTGAAAGAATTATTTTTTGGACACCAAAATGGACTCCGTTTTCTCAGATCATATAAGTGCTGCTGGGATTTCTTCACAATGACATCTGTGCTCTCAGTGAACTTAAGTTTATCATTAAACATATCTGTAACCTTGAACTACGATACGGACTCACAATGGATTGTTGGGGGAATGGTTTTTTTCCCAGCAGTTCAAAATACTTGCCGAACAAAGCGGTGATCAAAATGTTGCTTATCACATGAGGTAAGAATTTCTCAAAGGCTGCCCCTGCCTCTGTGACCTGTATGTAATATGAAATAGGTGTTATATTAAACTACACTGGGTAACGCTAATCTGAAAATGTTGCTAGTGTAAGAATAATAATTTTACTGCTCGTTCCACATCCTTTTGGAAGGGTTCTGTGTGACACACGTGCTCAGCATACCCTTGCTTTTTCCCATTGTTTGGATTTGCTGTTCAAGAAATTGTATTTGAACCAAGTAAATGTATTTGTCATTATTTCTAACATAGAGCATGCAGTTCAATTTGTTTTCCAATTAATCTTCAAGTGCACCAAATTATATATATATATACTCTGATTTTAATGAATGAATGATGAGCTTATATTTCTATTGCCAGTTTGTTTAGAAGAAGGTAATTGATTATTGTAATGTACTTGATAAATTTGTTAGGAAAATGGATGGAATTGTGTATTGGAAATAGGAGTTTTGGAAGTGATTAGCATTAGCCCACATTAACTTGAGAGTTTACTGCGTTTAGACCTTTGGTTGTATATCCAGACTGTTTATTTTAAGATTAAGTGAATGAGTTGGACAGTTTTAATGGGTTTTCAATATCTTTATACCATTACACTGCGCACTCTCGCTGGTTGACTCCACACACAGAGATTGACTGCCCCCTTGTGGAGCAAAATAGACATGGTCTCTTCCGGGCCGAAAAGAACCTGCCTTCCCGGGTCGGGGGTCAGTAACTCAAAACCCTCGTCCACAGTATATTATTTAATCCCGTTATGTATTCCTATCCTATTTAAAGACCTGAATTAAGAAATTAAAAATTAATTCCACCCATATTCACAAGAACTTGCATTCACAAACCAGAAGATTATTCAGTCCATTTGTCCGGATGAGGATTGATAGTTTCTCCACGTTTTTTAAAATTCTTGTTCAACCAAATTATTTTTTTTAGGTCGTATACGCATCAAGAAAAGGATATTAAAAAGATATAGATTTTTGACATACTTTTCCATCACGCGTTGTTCCCAAGTATTTCTAAAATAAGAGAATTAGCCAACACTTTGTTTACAAAATATAGAGTTGTATATACATATATTACAAAATAAATTATAACAAATTTAGACAAAATTAAAAACTGGGAAGCAGGCAGATGACACTAAACATAGACAAGCGCAACATATTGTACGTGACAAAAACTATAAATATAAATTAGGAACAAGTAAATACAGTTAAAATGGTACTGCTGTTCAGAAGTTATCCAAGTGAAAAACCAGAAAAACTCTCGGCCACTGCTGGGGTGAAGAAACATAAACTTTACGGTCTTGAACAGAGAGGGCTACGAGGAAACTTGATTAAATGTATTTCAAACTGACAAAGTCAAATCTTTGTATTTATTCTAAAGACTGCGCTTTCGCATGTAAGTACTTTTAATAACTGAGTTAAAACTACAAAACCCCATTCTCTTAACGAACTTTCTACGCTTTACGGCAACTGCCCTTAACCTTTCGGAAAAAGGAAACACTGTCGTAAAGCAAAGTCACTGTCGTGCTTGCAGCTCAGGAGTTTACGGTTGTAGACGAAATCCACGTGCGTGCACTTCTGGAGGAGCAGGAGCTGGGGTAAAGAGATCATTACAAATAAATTAACGTATGGTGCCAAACAATCATACTGATAATAGAACAGTTGAAACTAATTGAAGAAAAACTAAACCTTAAATCTGTCAAAATGCTTGATTGGAAACTCCGATAGGCTGGAAGTTGGTTTTGGGAGTGTTTGAAAATATTCCCTTATGTTAGGGTGGTAAGAGATAGCTAAAATATTGGATGACTTTTTAGTAATTTATTTAATAAATGTGACTCGTACCCAGTGTGAAAACTAAATATCGCTCTCTAAGACTCTGAACTTTATTATTAGGTCAGGCAAGCGATCTGGCTATACTGTACGTACTTCTATCAGCATTTTATGTCTGAATCTCACTACGTTTTTTGCGATAGTGATACCTGGTGTAATAGCTGGCTCGTTTTTATCCAAAAGTAAGGGTGACGTTAGTAAAGTATTCGTTGGGTACTGGTCAGTTATAAGAACAGTTATAATTGAGAGAAACATTATCATGTGTGTAAAAGCTGATAATTACCTTGTACTTATGGTACTTGACCAGAAACGTAATCTGTTTAGTGCTCCTTGGTCTCATTTTAAAATCACCTCCACATAGTTTCCACTTTTGCTCTGTGGTTCGTGTTTAGCTGTTAATTCTGAAGAAATCCGCTGGGTTAAACCGTTTGGTTATTAAAAGCCTTCGATTCGGATTGTTATTTATTTAATATATTGAAAGCTAACCTAATCTGTCATATTGAAAACGTTGTTGTTTTACTCTCTTCTGTCTTTGTATTTATCCCATGAGTTATACAAAATGTAAAGTAGTAGTATATTTCTTTCGGCAGTACAATAATTGCTTACACTTATATAGCGCTTTTCTGGACACTCAAGGCTCTTTACAGGTAATGGGGATCCCCTCCACCACCACCAGTGTGCAGCCCCACCTGGATGATGTGACGGCAGCCATAGTGCGCCAGTACACTCCCCACACACCAGCTATCAGTGGGGAGGAGAGCAGAGTGTTGAAGTCAGTTCATAGATGGGGATTATTAGGAGGCCATGATTGGTAAAGACCAATGGGAAATGTGGCCAGGATGCCAGGGTTACACCCCTACTCTTTTTGAGAAACACCCCAGGGTTTTTAATGGCCACAGAGAGTCAGGACCTTTGTTTTACGTCTCATCTGAAGGACGGCGCCTTTTTACAGTATAGTGTCCCCGTCACACAGGGCCCACACAGACCGCAGGGTGAGCGCCCACTACTGGCCCCACTAACACCTCTTCCAGCAGAAACCTCAGCTTTCCCAGGAGTCTCCCATCCAGGTACTGACCAGGCTCACACTGCTGAGCGTCAGTGGGCTGCCAGCTGTGAGTTGCAGGGTGATATGACTTCTGCAAAACCTCCATCATGTTCTAGTCCTGAAAGTTCGGCAATAATATAAAGTTATCTTAATATCAATTTGGTCTAACCAGCGAACCCGGCAGATATTATATTTTATACTGTAATGTTTGTAATGTCAAAACGGGTACCATACAAAACATTTAAAGAAACCTAGCCTTTCTACAGACAAACAGAATATGCCCTCTTATTGATCTTAAACTGGTAACATTCTCTTTTTTGTCAGTTTTATGCAATACAATCTGCGGGAAGTTGTACCCTAGTTTTCTTCTCTTATGGGTTCCTGGGGTAGTTCGGCTAAATTGGCGCGTCTGCGTATCGGAAGAGCCGTATTCTCTGAATCTTCCCCACCATACATCCTTATTCTCTTACCTGAGTTTAGGCGGATACAGTGAACTTGCCTGAGACGCCGCCAAGTAAGAGCCGGCTTCCATTTCCAGACGACTTCAGGATGGCGAAAAGCTTGAGGAGCAAGTGGAAGAGGAAGATGCGTGCAGAGAAGAGGAAGAAGAACGCTCCGAAGGAGCTGGCGCGCCTGAAGGCGGCCCTGGCTCTGGACGGGAAGGGCGACGTCTCCATGGGCGACATGAAGGAGGTGGCCACGGTGGTGTCCCCGGAGACGCTCAAACACAAGACACGGGACGTGCCGATGGAGGAGGAGGCCGGTGAGTCGTCCTGTTTCAGCATCGTAGGGCTGTTGAATACTTAAGAAGAGGAACTCGATTCAATTCAACTTTATTGGTCATTGTACTTACGCCGGTGCATGGAGCAGTGAAAAGTGTTTCTCAGTAGTCACTCAGGTGCAGTATGTAAATAGAACAGAAGATAAGACAATAGACAGTAACACAATAGCAATGACAGTGTAATAACATAATCTGCAATCAAAACTGTGCAAATAGAAGCAGAATAGGAACAGGTAACAGTGCAGATACATTAGGAAGTTCAAGTGTGTAGGCTGCATTTGGCCACTTGGGAGACCATGCCTTCTTTCTCATGGAGAATTGATGTCTTTTGAAGTTGTTGGAGTGGTAGCCCTTTTCACACATCAAGCCTCTGGTTGTGAGCACAATGTCGTTCCAGTTTTCAAGCAGAACCTTTTAAGTCTGTAATTTACATGCAAATAATGTGCTGCTTTAAGTCCTTCCGTTTAGCTTTGTCCTTTTACAGTAATTGAGGAAATTACGAAGCTGTCTTTCCTCTAACAAAGGTATGCCAGCATGTTTAGAGTTTGCTGAAAGCAAGTGTCATTACTGTATGACCTCAAAAGAGTCGGATCACACTGCATTAGCCTTTTCTGTTATAAGGTTAATTCATTAAGATTTGTTTTAATACTTGGTAACAGATTTTCACTGGTAATAAGCAATCAGTAAAATAGACGATGCTGTATCTTTGATGTAAGAAGTTTCATTCTTACATCTAAATGATAAAAAATCATGCTTTACCAGCCAGCACATAGAATTCCACCAGCCGGGTGTCTAAAAAAGTGAATTTTGTACTTTGTGGAGCATTGCTGCTACAGTACCCTGCATTAAAAGCACCACACTATTTTTTATATTTTCATTCAATGTTTTGAAACCATCCTGGCCTCTTGCATTTATCGGAATCTATCTTTGCAAACTTAATTTGTCCTCAACATCCATGTTGTGACGGTAGCACACAAAACATTGTCAGTTGCCTACACATCAGATCACTTTATTGGCCATATACAAGCAGCTGTAATAGTTTCTTCAAGTGACAGACTAAATACAACAAGAGCTGAATTTCTAATTCCCCAACCTGCTGCTTTTTCTAAGAATATAAGAAAAGCAACCAACTTGTTAGTTAAAAACGAATTCATCTTACCATGGCATCTTTAAAGAACCATCTGGATATCATCTTCAACAATATGGCTAGGTGTCTTGTTCCATAATTCCACTATTGCGGCTTAAAATGTCTTCAGAAGCCTTGTGTATCCTGCCTTATATACAGTATATACATGCGACAATGTATATGTGCATTGTATTTGTTAAATATAAGTTCCATATTCTTTTTTTCATGATGACAGATTAAGGGCCCCGACTGTAGTTTGTGGGTCGTTACCAGTGGCAGACTGCAAAAACGCCATGCGGCAGGCTTTCACAGCTGGTATTTGGTACTTAAGGTTTAATCAATAGTCCTGTAAGGTCAGGGTGTACTGCTTAGCTCCAGCTATACTGGAAACAGGCCAGAGTATTGCCCAAAGAAGTTCTGTTGTTTTCAGTGCTGCTGGCATAAAGTCTTAAAATATTAACAATTGAGTCATGCATCGTACTTCTATGTGTACCCAACTTGTTTCCTTTCACACACGTTTTCGTCAGTCTTTAGGAAATAAGGGGTAATAGCAGTACCCTGAAGTGTGAAATGCATGAAGATCGTTGTGTGTGTGTGCTGAGCTGTGCGCGCAGGGGGATTGACGTGCCCTTGCACGTCCTGGCGCAAGCCCCAAGCGGTGGGCACTGACCCTCTCTCTTTGCCCTTGGCCGACAGAGAGCACCTCCAAGATGGAAACCGACAGCCAGCGCAATAAGAAGACTCTGCAGGACGAGCACGGCCAGTACCCTGCTTGGATGAGCCAGCGGCAGATGAAGAAGCTCAAGCAGAAACGGGGGAAAACGGGGAAAGCAAAGAAGCCTAAAGGACTGGCTTGGTGAACATTTGGTCAAGGGGCGTTGTGTTAGTATAAAGAGCACGAGCATTGGAGGTCAGGTTCCTACAGACTTATCCTTTGCAACCTGATATGCGTACCTCATAGATCACATCAGCTTCTCTGTTTTGCCTGATGGGGAAACAGTTGCTTTAATCTAGTGACATTGTTTAAATGTTGCACATGTATTGGGCAGTGGTACTGTTAATTATGTGTAATATGCGTATATTTGAGAAAACGCAATCTAATAGGCCATTTTTGATTGTGCTTTGTTTGGAAGAGATTTCAGAGGGGGGGGGGCGTATGTATTAAGCAGACTGCCTTTCGTATGTATCTTTTAAATTGATAGCATCATAAATAACCTTGGTTGAAATCTCATTGATTAAATCATAGCACTGATGTTCTTACAAATTTTCATCTGTATAACATTGCATATTATAACCTGATTGGTGAAAACCAAGAGCCAAAGGATATTTTAACCACCGAGCATTAATTGGTTATTCCTTTCCTGGGTTTCAAACCTATTGCAGCAAAACTCTCAGCTCCTGTGTAGAGTCTCCTGGCTGTTGAAGGGGAACTGCAATGCTATTTTAAAATTTTGGTGTTAGAATTAGAATTGATGAGTGCATTTCAAACCACAGTTAAAGTGAAGTGTATACAATAATTTGTAAGGATCTCCAATTTACATCTCAAAATAGATTAAGTTTCCAGGTATGCGCAGCGGCACGTTCTGCAGTTCATAATGAGGGAGCAAGACTTCCGGTGAGGCGAAGCAGACCTATTACATTGTAAACAAACAGGCTTGTGGATACATCTCTTCTAATCCAATAGAAATGTTGCTCTCAACGTCCAGACGATTTTGCTCAAATACAGCTTACTTGTTAATTTTGAGTACAGATCACATTGGAACACTTCTGCGGTGAAATATCTGCTCCACAAACTGTACTTATTCGCTCGTACATCTCATTACATCAGTCCTTACAGGGACTAGTGAGCACGAAGGGCCGCCTCACGTCACGATTCGTGTGAACTCTCACTCTGTCCCGTGGCGAGACCAGAGGTGTGCGACAACATGGAGACTATACAGTACTTTCACAAAGTTCACTATTTTGTGCTTTAATCGGTACTGTAGGTATGATGGGATTAATGTTCCCTTAGCAAATTAAAGCAGTCTAGAAAGATAAAGTAAGGCTTCAGTTCAGTTTATCCCAGGAATGGCTATTTAAAGACAGGAATTTGGGATTTTTTTTTTTTAAAGGTACAAACCTCATTGTAGGATTTGTACTAATACAAGAAGTGCACATATCCATACCAATCTTTAAAGGGTTGAGAAACTCATTCCAGTCTGTAACTGCTGGAGTTTTCAGGTGCTTTTATTGTGATCTATAATTGTTCGCATTTACTTTTATTGTGCCTGTTTGTAGTCTGATACAGATTACTCTGATGTGGTCCGTGTAATGACAAAATAATTTACTTAGCTGCTAGCATACCAATGTTATTTTCTATTTTTTTATGATGTGAATAGTTACCTTTTTACATTGTTGCCTCAAGGCATTTGAAGAACTATTCAAAGTGCAGTATATTTGCATGCAGGATATTTTTTTTAACAGAATACTTCTCAGCTGTATGTGTTGCTTTTTATTTGAAACTAAAACTTGTGTTGTTTAACACGAACATTCAAAACTTAGAGCAGGCCCAAGACCTGTAGGAGGCGGTGATAGCCACTGTGCCTTTTTACACAGGGGGCAGCAGACAGTACAACTAGCGGGTAAGACTGAGACATTACACTTCCATATGAGAAAAGGACTGTCAGGATGACTCTCCAGCCCTTTTGTTGTCATGCAAATAGGTTTCTTCAGTTTTCCTAGCACAAAAAGCTAATTTAACAAAGTAGTAAAAAATATTTTAGTGTCTCCTTTTCACACATCTTTTTCACACCAGTCTTCTCTCTTGATTAATCTGCAAGCGCTAAAATGACTCCGTGAAAGTAGGTACGGTACGCGCAGGGCTGATCTTCTTTCTGTGACATTAAGAGGGTGAGAGAGGACGTGCCTCCCCCCTTTCCCAGCTGGGATGCTGGTCCATTACACCCATCCTGATCGCATGTACAGCTGGGTGGGCTGGAGCAACTGGAGGAGAGATCCTCACTCAAGGGGGAGCTGTGCTGTGCAGCAGGGTCTTGAACCCATGCCCCCACCATTGGCGAGACCAGAGAATTACACGCTACGCCTGTGAGGAAGTAACTGAGGTAAGATGATACTGTGTGAGTGTTCTCTATGGAGTCAACTCTTCCCTTTCAGGAATGCACCTGTACAGGTTAAGTCGTCGGTAATGGGAGTGCATTGGAAAGCTTTCTTTTCAGTGAGTGTGCTAGTGTGCACAAAAATTGGTCTGGCATCCTCGTGTGTGTGACTTTTAATTTGTGGTAAATTGAAGGTAATGTACTTTTTTAAAAATTGATCACAGTGCATGTTGCTGCCACATGTTGTTTGAGTTCCCTGTTTTGTACAGGAGATTTGTTCATTCACCCTGTACATTAGTGATCCAGTGGATCTGTGTATTGTTTTGCAGTGTCTCTTATTTGAATTTATAATTCAGTAACACATGGAAGCCTCCTCGGTGTTGAAGCTTTGGCAGGACAGAGCAGGGAGGAGTGTACAATTGGCCATATTCCACACATCATTAGTTCTAAATATTTCTGATTTGAATATGGCTAACTGCAGGTTTAATAGACAAAAATGAACAGCATAATCTATAGTACTGCAGGAGAGTCTAGGGTTCTGATGGATACAGAGCTCCGAAGCACCATAGGGTCTTCGTCTAAGATTTCCACAGGAGGGATTTTGTGATGCCAATAGAATTGTCACACATAGTCACCTTAGGTAAAGTTGTTGCTTGGAAGCACTTGGACTGCTGTGGTATATTTTTAGCACATTATTTATTGTGTTTATTGAAGTCCTACCTGTTTGTACTGACAGCTTTTGGTGTCTATAATGTTTGAAACCACAGCTAAAGAATTATTCTAATCTTTTATCAAGAGCTTTTCACATCAAACGTCTCAATGAATAGCGGAAATGAATGGAGAAAAATGATTTAAAGGATACCTATAACTTTAAAAAAATGCTAGTAAATTGTTGACTTTTTGATTAAGTATTAAAAGTGTAATTTATTACTGGTATGATTTGTTTATATCTTGTATGAGAAAGATTTAATTTAGGATAATCCAGAATTTAAGAATTCTGTTAGCTTTGATGTAGTGAGGTAAAATCATGCCTTGTACTCTGAAGGTATTAATGAGTTTCACTGGCCATTGAGTATTTAAATGTTGTCAAGGATTTTTTAGGAAGAATGAAGACAGTTCTCTAAAGCCAATAGTTTTCTTGGAGCTCTAGTGAGGTGTTATGATATAGCAGTTCAGTTAAAGGTATAGTTTTTGGCATTTGACACCAACTGAACTGATGGAGTATTTACTTTAGGAGTATATGAGATTAGAAATACAATATTCATGTTAAGTCACACTTAGTTTAGAAGTGAAAATGCATGATACTGTACCTTTAAGGCTTGACATTATACCATATCACTCACACTCATCTTTTTTGAACACTGCATTACAAGCCTGTTAAATTAATAAATGAGTGATGGGTACAGAGATAGATGATACAAAGCTCGGTGTTCTTTTATTATCTTCAAAACTGCCAAGAAAGCAAAAAACAAAGCTACAAAACATTAACTCATTGCCCTTGGTGTATAATTTTGTTGTATCCCTTGATACGATAATTAGTTTTTTCTGCTGTGCTCTGATTACATTTCTGATTTTCATAGCAGTTGTAAATTAAATGCGGATCGGAGCAATAAACACTGAAAAGTGTAAATCTCACTTGTAATCTTTTTTTTTTTGGCAGCAGCGTTTTTTGTTAAAATTACAAGTGGGATTTATACTATTTCAGTCCTGGTCTGCCTTTTAAAATATCAGTACTGATGGACCTATTGCTGGTGCTCTTTCTTCTAGTCCAGAATTTCCAAACTAATGGTTATGGTTAACGAGCGTGCCTGGCCAACTGGAATCGTCTAATTGGGGTTATTGCTGCAACGTGGGATTTAGTCTTTTGGTGTCAGGTTTTATGTGCAAGTTCCCCTGCCATGCTATCGTAAAAGGTGAGATCTTTCAGGGTATCTATATAGTGTCTGTGTGCAGTGCCCTACCAAACTAAATAACTGTGTCCGTCATTCATAATGGATGATATGCATTTCTTATTCCTGATGAAGGTTGTGCAACCCTGAGTTTATTTCCCTAGTGCTGAAGGGGAAATACTCTGAATAGGAAACACAGAATGCAGGGCACATATGCACACCATGTATGTTACTGTAGTCAGAATATCTTTCTGAATACAAAGACGGTGGCACTGAAGTACTTGGAAACTTGAAAAACCCATGTAAACATGGAGCAGAATATGCAAAATCTTCACAAAAGGCAGTCCAGAATCGAACCCAAAGCCCAAGAGCTGTGAGACAGCGGTACTAACCTCTATGCTGCCCTACTCCCATTTCAGGCATCAGACATTTATCCGACGATTATGTGAGTGCCTTGATCAACATCTGTAGTTAACATCATGTTGGACGGGCTCAACAGCTAGGGTATGGTAAATTCTCAATTAGAAAAATATTTTTGATGTTGTGCCTGGCTGGGAGAAAGCACAGTGTGCTTCTCATAATTCAAACTACTTTTGTATCTATTCGTTAGTTCCAAAATATCTTTGGACATAATAAGTATTGATCATGTCTTATTTCATTTTAGTCCCCTAAAAATCATATACTGTTTTTGCGTAAAAAATCCAATCTCCCCTTTCCTCTAAAATCTTTACTATACAAATATTGAAAACGTCTTTTGTATTCTTTTTCAGGTCGTATACATAAACAGAAAAAGGAGGTATTCTTTTTTTTATTTAATCGTTTTATTAAATGTATCGAACATGTGATCGGAGTTTGTCTAAGGGATGTTAATTCTAAGATCAACTGTAAACTCTCAGTTCTTTGACATTTTTTTACTGTTCCAGTTACTGTTTTTATGTTTCTTTTTAGTCACACTTTAGATTAAGTAACATAGATGATGGTTTGTTAGTAAATTTATTCAACATTGTTTACTATCCTGTGGGGTCCTAGAGAGTGTAATGTAGCATCTGTAGACATTCATCTTGGGTTGGGATATGGGTGAGATTAAATTACTCTTTATTTTTGTGGGGTTTTGTTAACCTAGACTTAGAGGAATGGTCTTTATTCAGTGTGAGTCATTTAGATCATATTTTACTCCACATACTTTTACTGTGTCCTCTGTTCTGCATTTTAAACACACTTCCACATAGTTTCCACTTGGTCCTCTTTGCCAGGACCCCTGGCTTGTGGCTGTTGTCATCACACAGTCAAGCCCCTCTTTGAGTACAGCCTGAACTAGAAAGATGGCAAGTAGGAGCTCTGGCAGCCC